CAGGCTTGAAAAGGAGATCCGGAGTGCAGCTGCTGAACGTGAACAAGCTCATGCAGACAGGAATATAGCACGCAAGCTCACTCCTGCCGAACGACGCGAGAAGAAAGAAAGGAAGCTTTTTGATGACCCAAATAACGTGGAGACCATAGTCTCAGTTTACAGGATCAATGAGCTGTCGCATCCAAAGGCCCGCTTCAAGATAGATGTTAATGCGCGAGAGAACCGGCTGACTGGATCTTGTGTGATATCAGATGGTATTAATGTTGCGGTTGTTGAAGGTGGAAGCAAGTCTATTAAGAGGTATGCTAAGGTTATGCTTAGGCGCATAAACTGGGCTGAAGCAGTAAAAGAAGAGGAAGAAGATGATGATGTTGAAGATGACAAGCCTCCTAACAAGTGCGTGTTAGTATGGCAAGGAAGTGTTGCCAGACCGAGCTTCAATAGATTTTATGTTCATGAATGCATGACCGAAGCTGCTGCCCGGAAGATTTTTGCTGATGCTGGCGTTGCTCATTACTGGGATCTTGCGGTCAACTTCCAAGATGATAATTAGTAAGGTAATTGGAGATGTTGCTTCGATGAAGTATTCCTTGTTCCTTGGCTTATATTTTTCTCAACGTGGCCACTTCTCTCCAACATTTTGATAACTGAGTAGTAGTTCTAAAAATTTACCTTATGCGATTTCTTAATACGCACCGTTGATGTTGTATGTGCCTATATGAAGTGAACCATTCTACTATGGGTGGCACAAATTGAATTTGCTTCAATGAGAAATAATTCGTATTGACTTGTGCTTTTCATGACATCTCTTTTGTTGTGCCGACTTTTGCTGCAAGCATTTTCTTTTACACCTCTTACTACTAACGATGATCGGTACACGGGTAAAATGAACTAGTACAGGTACTCGGCGGATAAGAGCAGGTTCCGGAGAAACTAAGTAGATGGCCAACAAACATTGTGCCAAGTTAATACCGCACTTCTTCTTGTACTAATGTATAGTATTTTCAGGGAGTTGGTTATCTGTAGATGTTTTTCGGAGGCGAAAACATGATGCTTGGACCCATTTCATTAAAGCAAAGCAAAGCATGAATGCTCGACTACCAAAACCGAATAGAATTTGGAGTCCTCGCTTTACATATGTCTATATGTCGGGCCAACTTTTGTTTCATTATTTTGTGCTCGTTCAAATGTGGGGTTCTGGACCAGCATGTCTTGTATTACTAGGGTTCTCTAAAATGTCATATTTCCTGCGGAATTTAGATTGACGTTCATACATAGCACTCGTCGTTTGATGCGTCGGCTTAGACATCATCCGATTACGCTGAGTATTGGACCTGGCTCCCGGGGGCGGAGTAGGCCGGCTTAGAAATCATCGGATTACGCTAGTTTTGGACATGGCTCTCTGGGGCGGAGCAGGCTTTGAGCGCTGGAAATTTGATGCAAAGTCCGTGTTTCGGTCCGAAATGCATCTAGGTTTGCTAAACATGGGTGAGACTCTTATCCCGACTCTTATCCAGGTCCGGATGACCGACCACGTAGCCCTCCAGTCATAGACGCAAAAAAAGAAAAGGAAAAAAATAAAAAATAAAAACTAACCCCGCTCATCTGCGATTAGCCCGCCCAACGTGTGTTCAACTGGACGGCCACGTGGTTTGGTCATCAGAACCTAAGATATTTTCCCAAACAGTACTCCTATCCCCCCGCGAAAAGTGTCAAAACATGAGTGTAAAGTGGAGTGAAGAAGTAGAAGAAATGCAAGACAAGGACACCAAAAAAATAAAGGCCAAAAGCTTTTGGAGGAATATCTGATAGAAAATGAAACTTGACCGAAACGGTTGATCTATATAGGTATATTCATATGCGCACTGTATGCGCATGCAGACACATCCGGTTAAATTTTTTTGTTTTGACTTTTGAGGGGACTTTGGCTTTTCTCACATAAAATATCTAGCAAAGCCCCTCCATCCCTCCCTATCTCCTTATTGGTTTGAGTTAGCTTATGATCCGGTGAAGGATGGGGTAGCCTATCTATATTTAACTACCAACCTCTCTACCTTTTAACCTTTCCCTTGTTTTCTTACTTTCCTTTTTCTCAAAATGACAACTTAGCACGGGTACATTGCTACTGTAGTGTTCCATATCAATGATACAATGTCATGTAAAGAAACATTTGCACACTTCGTTGTAATACTAATACAGATGTAATGATAACGATGTACTCTCGTTGTAAGAGTCATTCTCCTTGTCATTTAGGAGAAAATTTTCAACGTGCCAGGAATATGTTTCGTGACACCAAGTGTTATAATACAATTCGTTGGAAACTTGAAAAAGAAATTTCCAACCAATTATATTATGGCACTTGATGTACCTAACTGTGTTCCCGACACTCTTGAGAAATTTCTCGTCATTTAGCTACCAAATTTGATTTTTCTTTTTTTTATTCTAGAAACGATGATGTGTGACAAAATTGCTTTGAATGGTTTATTTCACTATTGTTTGTTCCCAATTTAACAGGTGAGGTACGTGAGAAAATCTGCTGAAGTGTGTTGTATACTATTGCAAAATTAATTGGACTTAGATATTGTTTTGGACTTTTGTGTATCATGCAGTTGTCACTGTATAACCATAATATAAATTGGGGTGTTGTACAAGTATCACCTGAATTATTATAAGTTTTGCATTTGCTACTGAAATTAAAATATATATATATCAAAGACCTATTTTCCTATTCTTATGTCATACTGGGTTTGGATCATGTCTCTCCAACATGACGATTCCACATATTAAGGTCAAAATAGAATCCAGTGTTTTCACGTCCCATCGTAGTGCCTAGTTTATCTCCATTTCCGATTGATGAAAAAGAAAATTAGTACTAATAAGGTAACTTGTTTTGCTTAGTGCTTAGCTAGGGAGGAATTTCTAACACCTCAAAGTTTAACGTTAATTCTCTTGCTAGCATTATAGAATATTATGCTAAAAACATGAGATGATAGAGAATTCATAAAGAGTCTCACTTTTAATAGAGTCTCCTTAGCATTTCTCTTTGATGACTCGACCTCGCAGGAGCACCATGAATGGGCATAGTGGAGCCCTAGGAGTAGGAGGCAAGCAACTCCAATCATATATATTATGTGGGTTTCAAATTGCAAATGTGAAACCCTTGAACATAGGGGATAAATCGAAATAATAAATGACAGAGTTGAGGATTACCTACTAATATTAATGAATAATAAGAGGAGACACTTAGGTGCTCTTTTTGTACAAATTACTGTAGAGCTAAAAATAATTTAGAAATTTGTGGAGCTGATATTTGGAATTTCACTGGCAAGAGACAAGAATGTTCTCATTAAATTGGCGAGGCCACATCCATTCCATGTGCAGTTCAACCACGAATAAGACTTGAGCTCCTGATTATGACTTCTCAAAGCTCATCTACTCATGCCAAGATGTAAGGCAAGGGAATTAAAAGCAAAATCAATTACTAATTCCTACCTCTAATCAAGGATTCTCAAAGAAAATCCTTAGTATATTATTAGTTAATTTAATAATATCTATAAGGATTATCCTCAGTACTATCATGTTACAAATACAACTCCATCCATCGGATGACACAACCTGACCAACTAGAGGTAGACACATGACATGAAAAACCCTACACATCTGGGCGGCCATGCTATAAATACCTCATGCTACACAATGTTCAAGTTGAAGTTACTCTGCATAACTCAACCCTGAATCTCACTCTTTTTTTCAGGAAAAAAAAAAAAACTGACTTAGGCATCGAAAGTTCATTGATCAATCAACCTCCACCTTAGGGCGCGTGGTTCTTGGCCTTAATCAAAGATGTTTTATTTGTTTTGTAGGACTCAAAAGACAGCAATTTTGTGCTACTACAATCACAATTTACTAAGAAAGTCAAAACAACTCATAAAAAACACGCCCAATAAAAAAACACACTTTATGAATCGGGTGTGTTTACGTCTCATCGTAAATTGCCCTTCCAAATTGTGAATCTCTTCGGACTTAAGAAACTCCCTATAAAGGTTTTCACACCAAAACAAAAGACATGTGAGTCCCAAAGCAGATGCTCCATGTGGAAAAGAAATCTAAACTTGGAAGTTATAACTTTATAACCCGCATCCAAATCAATGACCCAAATCATTAAACTCGTACCAGAAAGTGTAAAACGACTAAACAACAAGGAAGACGTGAAAACTGGAAATTGAATTGTAATATTGAACAAGAAAGCTGCCTGTAAACAGTAACCTTCCGCTTCCTGCCAACCATGCACACCTCATAAATTGGAACCCCATCGCTTAATGACCAAGTTTGCGACCAATATTTCGGTGTATCCAGAATATTACTATGCTGTATTATTATCTTCATCAAATTATAACATTACGTTTCTTTCTTTGTTTTTTTTTGGACAAATACGTTTCTTTCCTTGTTAAGAAATCAGAAAAATAAACCGTATCAATCATGTCATCGTGTACTGTATACGTAGACAAACTTGTCAAATTTGTATGACTCGATGGCTTAACCTGGTAAACCATAAAGTGGGCAACTAAATCACAGTGACCCTTGAGCCATCCACGAATTATAGATGATGGACTAAATGCATACAATTACATTACTGCTTACGCATAATTTGATCAACACCCAACCTAATTTCTTCTGGACCCCCGAAACTTGTTAACCCTGCCATAATTCCACGTGTCACCAGCCCATATCACCCACGTGTCCTCCCATCTCTTGCTCAAGAAGCAGAATTTAGGGAGAAAGGGAAGACGTATGGAGATGAGATTAGGCGTTGTAGGTCACCTCTCTCTCACCTCCTCCTTCAAATCAGTAGAAAATTAAATTAAATTAAAATTAAATTAGAAAATTAAACATAAATAAATAAAATAACAGAGAAAAGTAAGTAAACCCTACACCCACACCATCAAAGACCTCGCCCATTTTTACGTTTGTTGTCTTTCTATATATAGAAAAGCACTTCTCCATAACTCCATAAAGCAGAAGCTTAAATCTCACTTCTAGAGAGAGAAAAGAACAGTGAGAAATGGAGTTTTAGGGAGAGAAACAGAAACTACTGTTGAGTTGAAGAAGCAAAACAACACTGCTCTGATATTTTTCTGAGGAATTAATCCCATTCCAAAACGCCGTTAACCGCTCTCTCCTCACTTGCATGTCACATTCTCCGCGACTATAAATATCAGGAGACTTGGAGAGTAAGGAACCAATACGAATGTCGGCTCGCGTGGCGGACAATCAGATATCGCCGTTTTTCACTTCCATGGAGCTGAACGACTTCCCACGCCCCGCCAACGGCGCGTCGCCCTCGCTCGGCCAGCTACTGAAGCATGTTGGTGATGTACGCAAGGACGTCACAGGTGACGGCGGCGAGACTCCGGCGCACCATGCACTCGACATCTCCGACGCCAGCCTTGAGCCTCGCTCCTTGCCGTTCGTTCTCTCATTCAACAACCTCACTTACAGTGTCAAGATCCGCCGCAAGTTCAGCTTGTCGGGGATGTTATCCGGCTCCAATAACCTCCTCGGCCCCGCCACGGCTTCCGATCCCGTATGCGGTGGAGATAATCTTTTCACGAGGACGAAGACGCTGCTCAACGACATCACGGGAGAAGCGCGCGAGGGAGAGATTCTCGCGGTTCTTGGCGCGAGCGGGTCCGGTAAATCCACTTTGATCGACGCCTTAGCGAATCGGATCGCGAAAGGAAGCTTGAAAGGCACCGTCAGCTTAAACGGCGAGGTTCTTGAATCGCGGCTCCTGAAGGTGATATCCGCTTACGTCATGCAGGACGACCTCCTCTTCCCGATGCTCACAGTCGAAGAGACGCTCATGTTCGCCGCCGAGTTCCGCCTCCCGCGCGCGCTCTCGAAATCCAAGAAGAAGTCCCGCGTCCAGGCGTTGATCGACCAGCTCGGCCTCCGCAACGCGGCGAAGACGATCATTGGAGACGAAGGCCACCGCGGAGTCTCCGGCGGAGAGCGCCGCCGCGTCTCGATCGGAATCGACATCATCCACGACCCGATCATCCTCTTCCTCGATGAGCCGACCTCCGGCCTCGACTCCACGAGCGCATTCATGGTGGTGAAAGTCCTCCAGCGAATCGCTCAGAGCGGGAGCATTGTGGTGATGTCAGTGCACCAGCCTAGTTATCGGATCCTCGGCCTACTGGACCGGTTGCTCTTCCTGACCCGGGGCCAAACCGTTTACAGCGGGTCCCCCGCCAACTTACCTTCCTACTTCGCTGAGTTCGGGCACCCCATACCCGAGTCCGAGAACCGGACCGAGTTTGCGCTCGACATAATCCGAGAACTCGAAGGCTCGCCCGGCGGGACCAAAAGCTTGGTGGAGTTCAACAGAACCTGGCTTAACAAGAAACACTCGAACCCCAACGACGCGTCGTACAGAGGAGCATCCGACGCACGACACGTCGTTCCCCTCCGGGAGGCGATAAGCGCGAGCATTTCTCGCGGGAAATTGGTATCCGGAGCCACCAACAACAACCCGAGCCCCAACTCGATGGTCCCCACATTCGCGAACCCAATCTGGGTAGAGATGGCGGTGCTCGCCAACCGTTCGATGAAAAACGCAAGAAGATTGCCGGAGCTCTTCGGCATCCGCCTCGGCGCCGTCATGGTCACCGGATTCATCCTCGCCACCATGTTCTGGAACCTCGATAACACCCCCAAAGGCGTCCAGGAGCGCCTCGGATTCATCGCATTTGCCATGTCCACCACCTTCTACACCTGCGCCGACGCTCTCCCCGTCTTCCTCCAGGAACGCTACATATTCATGCGCGAAACGGCCTATAACGCCTACCGCCGATCCTCCTACGTCCTGTCGCATTCTCTAGTGGCGCTTCCGTCGCTGGTTATTCTCTCGGCGGCGTTCTCAACGACGACGTTTTGGGCGGTGGGGCTCGACGGCGGACTGTCCGGCTTCTTATTCTACTTTCTGATAATATTCGCGTCGTTCTGGGCGGGGAGTTCCTTCGTCACGTTTCTGTCGGGGGTGGTCCCACACGTGATGCTCGGGTACACGATCGTAGTCGCAATACTGGCCTACTTCCTCCTCTTCAGCGGCTTCTTCATCACTCGCGATAGAATCCCGGCCTACTGGATTTGGTTCCACTACTTGTCTTTAGTGAAGTATCCCTACGAGGGGGTGTTGCAGAACGAGTTCCAGGACCCCACAAAGTGTTTCGTTCGTGGGGTCCAGATCTTCGACAACACCCCGCTGGGGACGGTGCCGGGGGCGATGAAGCTGAAGCTGCTGGAGAGCATGAGCAAGACGCTGGGGGTGCGGATCACGACTTCCACGTGTCTGACGACGGGGGCGGATATTTTGGAGCAGCAGGGGGTGACGGATTTGAGCAAGTGGAACTGCCTCTGGATCACGGTGGCTTGGGGGTTTCTGTTTAGGATTCTGTTTTACTTTGCCTTGTTGCTTGGCAGCAAGAACAAGAGGCGGTAAAAAAAAGCGGAAAAAAATGAGTGCATTTTTGCTCACCAGTATTTAGTGTGGGGTATACTAATCATCATATTTATCACCGTTATATGAGTTTTTGAATTTTAAGATTTGTGTTTATCCACAACACGAATCTCGAAATTTAAACTCATTTAACGGAAATAAATATGATGATGAACATACACCACACTAAATGGTGATGAGCAAAAATGCTCTCGGCAAAAATAAGCTCCGACTGGTTATTTGGCGGGAGCGAGGTTGATTGGTCTGAGTGAAACTGTGAAATTCCTGTGTCAAATTTTAATTGTTTTTTACCTTTTTTTTATTTAGGGTTTCCAATATTATTTCGGAAATTTGAATTACGTTGGCCAGGTTGATTTTGTTGGTGTTGCATGCAAAATGTACACCGTTGCAATATAGCGCATATACTATAATCGCGAGAAGTATAATAATCTTTCATTCAGATCAACCTCTTCTACCGGTTTTTCAATTATTTATGCAAAAAGTTTCCAAGTGTAATCTGTTGAATGTCAATCCAAGGCAAAATACATGTCACATGTACTGAACTATCAGCAATTTAGCATGTGTATAGTTTCAGCATATCCTGTTAATTATCAGGCCAGCTCTGAGGGTATGAGGGGGCATTTTTTTTCCTCGTTAGTTTTCATTGGACTGGACTAAGTATTACTATAGTCTCATGTTTGTTATCATGCGGAACTAGCTTTAATGTTATTAGGTGTGACTCACATCAACAAAGGCCTCGCTAGACGGTCTTAGCGAGACCCCCCAAAATTTATATGGGACTGAGTAAGACCTTTGCTTCGTCCTCTCTCGCCTGCATTCTCTCTCGCCTTCATCTGCTTTGCCACCTTGGGCTCATCGATCTCAATTTTCAACGACAAAGGGTTCGGGCGCGACTTCAACTTAATCCCTAAAACTAGTCCAATCTGAAATAATCTGGTGCAACAAATGCATCATGAAAGACGTCAAATTCAATCTCCTTTGCTTAAATTCTTAATGTCTACAAAAGTTAACATAAAAAGAATATGCAAATACGGGGGGTCTAATTAAATCTCCTTTCCTTAATGTTGACAAAATTGACATAAAAAGTTACCAACATCAATGGCGGAGCTAGAATCTTGCTTTATAGGATGCCTTTCACAAATCTGAAACTTTTATTTTTAACGCCTAAGATATTGTGTAGGTTGATTGTATTTTTATTTATTTATCTCAAATTGCACCGACCATATAGTCACTTAATTCAAATAATACGTAAGAGCAAAGCTTAAGAAAAGAGACAAACGATGGACTAGAAGTTCAAGCCAACAGTCCTTAGCTTAAGGGGTGGTTTGGGAGTGAGGTGCTTAAAAAAAAAGCACCCATGAAAAAAAGCTGTGAGGGTTTTAGGTGTTTGGTAAACTGAAAAAAAAATGCTTATTTTGGAAGCTGCTGTGAGAATAAGCTGAAATCAAGGGAAAAAGCTGAAGCTGCTATTTGCAGCTTTGGAAAAATGGCTTTTTTTCAAAGCACATGGAGCTACAGTGCTCCTTTAATGAAAAGATTCACTATCAGACTGCTTTTTTTTCCAAAAGCACTTTTACAAAAAAGTTTACCAAACACTCTGCTGATTTATTTCACAGCTGCTTATTTTCACAGCACAGCCGCTTATTCTCACAGCAGCTTTTTTTCAAAACACAGCAATATCAAACTAGCCCTAAAAGCAGTGAGTGATAAATCCTGACTATTAGATTCAGAAAATGTGCTCGAAAACTCCGACCTAGATTAATCTCCACCACCCAAAGGGGAACTTGAAGTAATTAACAAGTAGAAGAAGGTACATCATTATACGTAGAATAAGAGAATCTCATATCCAAGGACTCCAAGATTGCAACTAAACTTACTAGAAGTAAAAGGAGTTTATGCTATATCTTATACGTAGAAAAGAAAATAAAAAATTGCAGGATATGCCTAGGACTTCCCTAGTCCCATAGTGTCTCCGCCATTGACCAACATAAGTCTGACCAGGATCCATTTGAACAAAATCAAATTGACCGTTAATTACCTTGTGACTAGCTACTTCCTACTCAACTCTTGTTCTGTGTCACAATCAATAAATATTTCTCAAACAAGACTTGGAAAAGCTGGGAGTAAAATGAGATTTTGAGGGCTTCGGTTTAAATTTAACACAAGCCCCAAAATTTCAGGAGTTGATCTTGTTGGTTGTTTATGTTATAATCTAAAGAATAAACGCGTCGTCTATTTATATTATGACACGTAAATCCGTTTTAATATCATAAAAGTTTGTATATAACAATGGTTTTGGATAATTGATTTTGTTTTGGAGTGAAAAGGGGGCATATATGCTTCATTCATGCATGTTTAAGGATTCAAAGTCTAAAACATCAAATATGCATGCATATATCTAAGAACAAAACCATATTGACCAAAAACAAGAACAAAACTACAAACCACAAATAAATAAAGCAACTTTTCCCCACTTTGTTCACCAATCCGACATCTAAACTTAATCCCCGAGGATATTTTTGACAAATAATTTTTGGAGGAGACCAAAATCAAGTAGGATGTATAATTTAGGGGTTAATCGGTTCACCCACACTCCATCGACCACATTATGTATTCTCCCCTTGCAGATTAATCTATATGTTCACACGCTAGCTTCACCATAATTAATTTGTTTAAGGTATACTATTTTGGCTCTAAATTAACTTCAATATTATTTTATTTATAAGATTTGGCTCCATATATATGTATAGGAGTTAAAGTTGTAGGAGGTAAGGTAAATTAATATAAACTCTAATTATTTTATTTTATTTTTTCCAAGTTGTATGTGGCTGGTGACGGGATGTTTAATATGCATGTGCCGACAGAAAGAAAATAACTGTGGTTGTTCCATATGGGAGATATTTTTCGGTCTAGCACGGGGCGGTACATCACCTGTTATTAAATAATTGTAGAGAAATATTTTTTTTCTTCAAGCGTCTCTCTAAGTGTATAAAAACATGTGACATACCGCTCTGTGTTTTGAGCATACTGAAAAATCTCGCTTCATATTGGTATGGGCCTATGGCTGATTAATTGCACTGCAAAATAATTAATTGCATATATAAATTGGAATACTACTCCTTGCAATGACCGATATTTGATTGTTGGCGAGTTTAATTTCTGCAAAATTATTTTCAAGATATTTGGAGCTGAGGTCGGCCATGGATTAGGAGAGATTCTACCTTATAACTAGCCGATTGTGATACATATATAATTTTATCACCTATCTCTCTCATGGTCATGTGACCAAAATCAATTCAACAATGATGATTCCTGAGTGTGTGACCAAGTCCTCGTTTGGTCTCCATTATTTGATTGAAATAACTAACCCTATGAATTCAAGGTATATTGAAGATAGAAGTTAACGACTTTTTATTTTGAGGTTATTGGACGGGAATTAGACATGAAGGAATAAATTAAAGCAAGGGAGACCTTATTAATCATACTAATTTAGAGAGAGTAAAATATTGATATGTTTTCTTAACGAGTAATCATCTTCTACGTGCATATCTAACTCAAACATAATACTTCTTCCTTCAACGTATCTTGAAAATAATGGCTTATCGATTCTAATCCGACCCTCTATACTAAACGAGTCCGAATCATTTAAGTTGTGACTCTGGCAATTGTTTGCTAGATTGTCTAGTAAATTCATTAAATTTGGGTTGCTCGCTGCCGGTTCCTTAATTAATTGTGCTAGCTAGTTTGACACATGACCTTCATGAGAGTGGTACCTGGGCTGATAGCTATATAGTGTATTTCTCTTCGGCATGCGCGGTAGTACTAGTGGCGTGCATGTTAAGTTTCATTAATAAGCATGCTCTATATATATATGGATTATACAAGAAGTAATGCTATGGAAATTAAATTTATAGATAAAATTTTGTAACTGAATGATATGAAAGTTAGCGATTGAATGATTACTTAAGCGTTGATAAATATACTCATTTCTTATTTGTGACACATCATTTAATTTACAAATTTTGTTTACAAATTTAATTTTCTTAACATTATTCTCATACGAGACATCAAGCTGTGTGAAATATTGGAAACTTTATGATTAGGACTGCTCAGAGAAGAGAATTAATGACATCCGACTAAATTAACTTATTCAAATAAGCTAAGCACGTGTTGATGTCGCCTGTCAAAATCTCTAGTAAGTTTCTTCCTTGCGACAAAATAATAATAAATTACTCTTTTTATTTTATTTTAAACAAGTTTTTTTTTTTTTTTAAAAAGAAAATTCTCGAAACTATTACAATGATTTAGGAGATGTCGGAATTTCAAATCCGAGATGTATGGATAGAAATTATTACAAGTTGAAGATGTATTTTGTTCATTACTACAATTCTAATATGAATATGTTTTTACTCTTTGTCCATTTACAAACGCACACAGAGACTTCACACGTCCACTACATATATAACATGAGAGAAGATATGTCTTACCACTATAGATGTATTGTCTTCAGAATATCACGGAATGTTATATACACAAAATGATTGAGCTCAAGTGATGAAATGTATATATACACACCAATGATAATCGTTACGACAATTATGTGAACTTAATACTTGTTTGTTTTCGACCCAAGATGCTTACTTGTTAAGGGAAGATGAAATTTGCGCTTACACTTTTAGTGGTTTTCTGTTTCACTATGCACCTATTTTTGACCAATTAAATTGAAATTGTCAAAATTTCGTAATTAAGTTTTACAAATTTAGCAGTTCGATACACCGATGCATCATACAATTTTTATTATATAAGCCTTAGATTGTCAAGTACATATTGGAATTCATGTGTTTGCTTTGACTTCAATACCCATGCATTTGTTTCCACTTTGCACATTAATTACGACTTGGTCATTTGCATTGCATGCAAGAATTGCCTACCCATTACGTGATGAGGAATATATTTGGTTGGGTTCCACACAATTACCTTTCAAACAA